GAATAATGATAATGCGAATGATAATTACTATTGGTATGAAGAAGAGGAGGGGCCATGAGATCTGGAGAGATATCGTGGCCCTGGCCATGACAAATACCCACACGCCCCCCGCCACCACTCCCCTCCTGCACGCCCCGGAGGGGCGGGCGGACCCGCTGCACGCGGCCCGGCTCGCCCGGCGCCTCCCGGCGCCTCCCGGGGCGACTACGCAACGGCCGCCTGCAGCAGTCCCGCGCCCCCCCTCACCTGGGGCAATCCCGCTGGGAGCCTCCCATACCATTTGTCGGCTCTTGCGAGTCGACGCTAGTCGACGCTGGGTCGACGCTAACCGACGCTAGCCGACGCCGAAGCCGCGCTACCTCGTCGACTCCCAGACGCTCATGGACGCAGACGGACTTGCGAGGGCATACAAGGCTCCCATGATTTGCTGCGGAACCCCCGCACCTGGGGCACACGCCAACATGGATCACGGATCCCCGTGGAAGCAAGACCCGTTGCTGATCCACCCGTCTATCCCTGAGATCTGGCAACGCAAACACATTGTGACACCGCCATCATCACGACAGGAGCCCTAAAACCCATCTGGCTGCGGCATTCTTCGAGCCGGATCAATTTGTGTTGGTCCCGGGACCCAAAACCGTACGAAAAAGCCTGGCAAAAGAACTGCACTGCCCTGATCTCAGAGTAGTCCACCCGTCGCGAATCCATGTTTACGTTTCTTCAACCCCTTATCACCCGCCACCTGCTCCTCCTCCTCCTCCTCCTCCTCCTCCTCCTCCTCCCCCTCCGTCTCCTCATCCTATGTACGCAACTCCTCTTTCCCGCTTGCGCATGACAAGATGGGGTCTTGTTGTTGGAGTTCCAGGTCGGCCTGGACGATCGTCCGAAGATAGAGCGCAAATCTGGAAAAGGGAACCTAATGTGGCGCGAGCGCACCCAGCTTGCCTCGCCCTCCTCTTCCAAAGCCCCCCGCCGCCTCGTCCGTGCGCGATAGCCCCCCCCTCCTGGCGCTGGGCGGCACCACCCCACACAACGCCCTGCCGCGCGCTGCGGGCGCCCCCGGCGGCGACGGGCACGGCAGCCGGCCAGCCGCGCAGGGGCGACTCGTTGGAAGTCCTCGTTCGTGGGCGCGGGTAGGACCAATCGGGCAACACTGGCACGCTTCGGCGGCGAGCGAGGGGGGGAAGCGAGAAGGGGCGGGCCTTCTTCAAGTCCCCCGGCCTTCTGAGAAGTGTTCTGAGCCTTACCCGACGGCGCAGAAATCAGAAAACTTCTCGGAAGGCAGTAGGCCTTCTGAGAAGACCCGCCGCCTTCTGTGAAGGCCTTCTCATTCTCACTTCACCCCTCGCTCACCGCCGAACGCCAACATACAGCGGAGGCGCTCTCAGGAGGAACAGCCACATGAGCGACGACCCAAAACGGGTCTTACGCGAGAAGTCATAGCGGCCTCACGCGGTGGCTTACGCGGGCCGTAAGTGCGGAACGCTACACTGGAGACGAGGGCGCTTACGCGCGACCTTACGCCAGAATCGTACGCGCCAATGACGTCGCAGACGATCCCGTTTTTCTGCGTCGCTCACATGTCATAACATGGATAGACCGGCACACCAGGAAATCCTGAGACGTGGATAAGCCAGTACACCTGAAAAACACTCTGACAGCACTGTCACGGATAGGCCGGTCCACCCAAAAGTACTGCCAGGGCAGATTAGCTATACTCTTGTGCTCAATAAAGAATATTACTTCGCAGGCAATTTTGTAGCTGCACTGTGAATACTACAGCAGATAACGAAAACAAATCTCGGCGGGCCTGCTGTAGTCGCGACGTGGCTGCCGCACGGCGGTGGAGCGGTTGCTACAAGAGTTAGCCAGTAGGTGTGGGAAGAATCTGAAACAGGATTGACAGAGAGTTGCAGGGCTAGGGAGAAATGTTGAGTTAAGAAGGATTCTCGGAGCTGCCAGGGTCAGAGAGGATTCAGATGTACGGAGGAACTGGCACCAGAAGTGAAAGGTCTGGAGATGAACAATTTCCAGGGTTGCAGAGGACTCTGAGTCATGGAAGAATCTGAATCAGAATTGCAATAGATATGAATCCGCCGACCCTCTCGGCGTGTGGAATGCGTTGTGCGTCGTGGATGTTGTCCTCGTACGTACTCGTCGTCTTCTTTTCTGGGTCCGTCGCCGCTCCCCCCATCTTCCCCTGGGCCCTCGCCCTCAAGAGCGTCAACCAAAGCGAAATGAACCAACCCAGCCAAAGCGAAATTAGCAACGTTGTCATTGAATCGACGGGAAGTCCCTTCCTTTGATCCCTTCCCCGCCGGGGGGGGGGGGAGGGTCCCGGGAGGGGTCCCTGGGGGTCCCCCGTTTGTGGTTTTACAGAGGGGCCCTCTGTAGATGCGCTAAAAAAGGAAAAGGGCGCCACGACGGAGCCCAAGAACGCCTAAGGACGGCCAAACGGGGCCCCTCAGACGGGTCAAAAGAGCCCCACAAGTTCTTTCAAGAAGGCCTGGAGAGGCCATTTTCGTTCATTTTCGGAGAAGGGTTTTGTCCCCGCCCTCTCCCTCCCATTTCCGTCGAGAGCCGAGGCCTCCAGAATTGGTTGTTCCTACTCGCTTCTTCTCGCTGCTCCCCCACTAATCCTTCTCCTCATCATCCTCCTCCTGCTCCTCCTCCTCCTCTTCATCATCCTCCTCCTCCTCCTCCTCCTCTTCCTCCTCCTCCTCCTCCTCCTCCTCCTCCTCCTCCTCCTCCGCCTCCGCATTCCTCTCGCTGCTCCCCCACTCATCATCCTCCTCCTCCTCCTCCTCCTCCTCCTCCTCCTCCTCCTCCTCCTCCTCCTCCTCCCCCTCCTCCGTAGCCATTTTGGCTCAAGTCCGTAGCGTGGCCCAAGCGTCAGCAGCGGACGTGAGCATTCTGGCAAGGGGGCGCCTCAGAGGTGCACGCGGCCCCAACAGCTCTCCTGGCGTTTGCCAGGCATACTAACGTACCTTTCTTGTTCTTGCCAGCCACGGCACGCCGATGGGAACGGATGATTTGCTCTCAGCCCCTTGGCGAGCGGACGGGTCGACGAATAAGAAAGCCACTGTTGTACGACGCAAGCTACACAGGCCCCCAGCCTCAGGGCCCACGTGGCGATGTGGTCAGTGCGGATGTGCACGCAACGAGGAGAGATGGCAGTGGTGCAAACATTGTTTTTCATATCGCACACCAGAACCAGGATGGACCCAGCCGCAGCACTGGCCGTCTTGGGCAGGCAAGTCGTGGTCAGGATCAGACAAGTCGTGGAATGACAGCCGTCAGGGTTCAGAGCACCGTCTGCCGCTGGCCGCCGGCCTCCAGCCAGGGCCGAACTCCTCCACGCCAGCACTGGCTTGGACGAATCTTGATGGCCTGGATGCTGCTGAGTTGGGTTCTCTGCTGGCCATCGCCAACAAGACGGGTGACAAGAACTTGGCCACGCGAGTTCAGGCACGCATCACCACCCTGGCAAAGCCTGCTCCCCCAGTCATCGAGAAGACCATGGAACAGCGACTGGCAGAATCGCGACGTGAATGTGACAAGCTCCTTCAACGGCTCTCTCGTGAACTGGATAAGCACGACAAGTGGAAGGCCCAGCTGCAGGAGCACGAGGACTACATCATGGGCCTTCGTGCAGAGTTGGAGATCATGGACACCCAGCACGCTGAGCTCGCCCGCAAGCTTGCGGCCACGGGCAAAGCTGCCACTCCTGAACCTGGACCTGCGCCTGCGCGGATCAAGCTGGAGGACCTCGTTTCTGGCAAGGTGGGCACCCTGGACTTCGACCTGGGCCTCCTTTCAGACATGCCTGAAGGATTGGAGCTGGACGAGGAGGATCGTCTACGGATCGAAGAACGTACCACACAGTTGCGGGAGCTCCTTTCCACGAAGGCCAAGGATCTTTTCTCCTCAGCGCTGGACGAGGCCAAGCGCGTGGTCCAGGAGCATGAATCACAGAAGACACGGCTACTCGCCAAACGTCGGCGCGTGCAGGATGTTGAGGACATGGAACCCCAGTCCAAGCCTGGAGGTGCAGAGGGTTCCCAGCCAGAGACAGCTAGTGCTGGTGGTGATGGCGCAGAGACCACGTCCGAGCCCCAGGGCCAAGGCTCAGAGGGACAGGTCTCCCGACCAGAGCAGCAGGCACAGTTCGCCTCTGTCCGCGAGCGATTGGCCAAGTTCGAGCGCAGGGGGGGCCCCAACCATGAGGGCCCAGCAGCTACCTGATTGTGGGACATCTGTGTCAATTGGTGTGCTCAAGCTCATCTCGCGCACACCGCCCTTCCAATGCTACCCAGGCACGGACATTCCCTTTGGATGTGCATACCATGTTCTTGCTCACGCATGTGCTCCCTCTGGTCGAGCTATGTGGTCTGACAAATTCTGCTACGAAGCGCTAGACACAATTCAGAAGGTTCGAGCTATGATGGACTGGGCCCCTCATTCGCGTTCTGACGTGGTGACGGGGACCCCTTCGACGTGTACACCGAGTTCTATGCCGTCCTGGACAGCGTTCAGCACGGCTTCGGCGGGGGCGAGCCCGCCTGGCGCCACAGGCGCTACGGATACTCAGAAGAGCCGCGTCCTTCCTGGGACATCGCCTTCCACACGGTCAGTTACTGAGACGGCAGGAGGGCTTCAGGCGTCAGAACGTAAATCCTGGGCTGCCCAGAGCAGTGCAGGTTCACAGTCGCACCTGTGCTTTCCACCCGCCAGGGCACCCTCTCCACAGGAGGCGGGGGTCTCAGCGCGAGTGGGTGGGGGCACAGGAGTTTGCTGGACTCGCCTACCTTGGGAGGCTGGCAACGTTGGATATGACGAGACGGCTGCCGAGTCACCACAGGCCATGGGCCTGCCGCCTGCTGACGAGACCAGAGCGATGGCAGTTCAAGACTATGCAGATATGCGAGCTGACCTCAGAGAATGGGCAGCGGCTTGGTTTGACATACATCTTGGGCTAAACGCAGGAAGTGGTGATTGGCGGCTTTGGTGCGAGGCGTTTCTGCACACGATACTTGAGCGACAAGGGAACGAGCCCTTGCGCCGTTTGTTGCAGGCTTGGTTTCCAGGCCGCACCTTGCAATCTGTCATGGAAGAACTATGCGAGTCGGCATGGAGGCAGTCTGAGCCCAGGCGCGTGGCCTTCCTTGAGCGGCTTCGTACGGCGCCCATTGAGAGGCGTGTACAGCTGCAGCGCCGCCATTGGGCGCACTTGGATGAGCTGAGAGCCATGTTCAGGAGGCTTTTGGGCTCGACTTCCCCTACGGTGCGGCTTCCTCGCTCCAGACAGCCCGACACAGAGGATGATCAGGCAGACGTTGACGCTTGCATTGCTCACCTGGTGATGTTGGCGGATGCGGAGACCAGCCTGGGACAGGCCAATCAAAGTACAGTTCCACACGCCATGCAACATAATTCTTCGGAGGCTCCAGACGTTTATCAGTGTGCTCCTCTGCCTGCGGACGGAGTTCGAGCTGCTCGGTGTGCTGACTTGGACGATCCAGACGCTGACCCCTTCGCCAACCTGGATGACCAGTTCGGGGACGAGGGGGAGCTTTGTACTGTGGAATCTAACATCGGATGCAGGCCTGACGCCATAGGCTCCAGCCCCACCCCGTCTCGGGATGTTTACCTTGGAGGCCCTGAGCCTGCGATCTTGGGTGTCTTGGGGAACTCCTCGTCGAGTCTGCCTATGCTGGATGCCGCTCGACCTCGGGACTGCAATGCGGAGTCAGAAACGCAGCAACGTGTCAGACAGACCCACGCTGGTGACAGCGCGCCCACACACGAAGAGCAAGCAGTTCTGCAGCACTGTACGTCCGACGAGCATGTGACGCTGCTCTTCGCGAACATCACCGAATGGGGCGCTAAGGTTCGCAGCTTTGTGAACAGTCACAAGCACACCTACGCCATCGTGGGGCTGGTCGAGACGCATGTCCCCGACACCAAGTGCGCCCACTGGAAAGAGGAACTCAGGAAGGACGGGTGGAGGCTCTCGTTCAAGGCAGGCTTTGCTTCTGGGAGGTCGGACTCAGGCATCTCGGCAGGGGAGTGGCTCCTCACGCGCTGTCACTTGGCCGCTACACAGTTTGATCGAC